ACACATACATATATATACACACAAGATAGTTAAGGTAATTACATAGCTAGTTTATCCTAGTTCAATAAAAAATGTTTTCTTGCTAATATTGTTCCAACATTTCACACATATATGTTGTACTCTGAATAACTATTAAGCAATAACAATATGCAATGTATTAATTATTGTTGCTCTCCTACTGGCCTGTTTTGAGGCTGTTATTTTTTTTCTCTTTAAAATGAAGAAAGTATGAACAGAAATTAAAACAAAACAAAAAATAGTACTTATTGTATATGTTTAACAATATAGAACATTGGAGGAAAGTGTAGTGGCACACACCTATAATCCCAACACTTGAGAGGCTGAGGCAAGAGTTCCACAAGTTTGAATCTAGCCTAAGCAATTTAGCAAGATCTTATCTGAAAAAATAAAAAAGGGCTATGAATATAGCTCATTGTGAAGGCCCTTCTACTCCCCAAAAAAGATGACAAAAAAGAACTTTGGGAGTCAGTCAATTCATTAATTTATGGATTCAACCAAATGCGTATCTATTTTTAAGGTGGATCCTAGTCTCAATCACTGAATCAGAGGTAAATTTCTTAGTCCACCTCTATGCTGAACTTACCTATTTCATAAACCTATTTGTGTTCCTTTAGACTCCTCTATTTTTTTAACCTCATTCTTTAGACTCAATTGATTTTTCAAAGCTCATAAATCCCACCCTTAACTGATAATATGAGATATTTACATTCTAGTGCAGGTACGACTAGAATTCTTCAGTGTACATAAACCAGGAATTCTAGAAAACACACTGACAGTCAACTTAAGTAATACTGGTATTAACATACCAGTATGTTTTTTAAACTTTTAATATCCAAACACCAGTACTTTTTTTTTTTTTTTTTGCAGAACCGGGATTGAACTCAGATCCTTGCGTTTGCCAGTCAAGCGCTTATCCTACTGAGCCATCTCCCCGACCCCCATTTATTTTTTATACATTAATAATTATTTAGTGCAAAAGAATCTCAAAAGCTCCATCTTGATATAGCAGCTGAGTTATCTTAAAAAAAAACAAAAACAAAAAAACAGGAGATGAAATAAATTTCAGATTTTTCACAAATAGCTTCTCCATGCTAAAATAAGGAATTCCCTTTGCAGCACACGTTACCCTTATATAGACCAAAACCCTCTTCCCTCTCTGCTTACATCTGACCAATACTAACCCACCATGTTGGTTAGCACCACACCTGGAAACTGTGCCCTGAATACCCAGGGCATACAATTCCACTAGCTCTCTAGAAACTAAAATGCTAAATGTTCTGGTACATTCATCCAATCTTAAATCAGACTTTTTATTTCTTCTTTCTTGGGGTGTAGAGGATGCTGGGCCTCATCCACATTAAGCACATGCTTCTACCACTAAGCTACACCCCCACCCAACTCTGGCATTTTTGGTTCATTTGCAGTTTACATGTAGAAGTTGAAGTTCTTATAATCATTTAAGAATTAGCGCTAAGAACTTTCAAGAGTATATATTTCTTGGTAACTAGATTTTAAAGGGCAAACATGATGAATAAAGGTCATCTGGAACTAAAACAGGTAGGTAGGAAAGACATGCTTACATCTGAAAAATTATAACAAAGTTGACAAGTATGTTCTCCAAGAGTGTCTGAGATTACCTTTTCATTAAGATTATCCAAATTCAACTACTGTGCTATGATGTACTATTATTTAGAGTGCTTAACTCATATTCTTTAATGTTTAAAGGAGAAGAAAATATATATGAACAGAAGTCAAGGGGCTGGGGAGATAGCTTAGCAGCTTAAGCACCTGCCTGGTAAACACAAGGTCCTGAGTTCAATCTCTGATACCAAAAGAAAAAGTCAAAAAACCTTTCTAAAGGTGAAGAAAACTTCAAAGCCACCTTACATGGATGAATCAACAGGTGTGCCACCATCTCACTGAGTAAGAAATACTATCCTTCCTCGACTGCAACAAATTTGTCTCTTTAAAGGAGAGGTGGCAGAAGGAAATGACTCGGGCATGTAGGGTTCAAGCAACAGAAAACATATTGAGATGTGAATGGCCACTGCAAATCAGGAGCCAAGGACATAAACAGAACTACCCATAAGTGAAAAACCTTTATAGATATCTGGAACTGGAAACTAGACTCGGATAGTCATGATTCAAGTGAATAAGAAGTCAGTGACTTTTAAATAACTAATTTATATTGAGGGGGAAAGATGGAAGAAATTTTTAATCTGTTTATTGGGAAAACTAATTCATGTATCTACTTTAAGAGGTTTATTTAGTCTGAAAAGTTTCATTTTTTCTTCTGGGACTTTGGCTTACCTGGGGATTACATGTCTCTGAACTATTAATTTTTATGTATTTGGTACAGGGTCTCATTACACAGCTCAGACTCGCAGTGATCCTCCCGTTTTCAGCCTACCCAGCACTGGGATTACAGGCATGCACCACCATGCTCAGTCTCAGTGGCCTGCTCAGGTCAGCGTGGCATGTGGTATGTGGGATTGAACCTCGGTCCCTGCACTTGCCTAAGCAGGCACTTAGTCCACTGAGCTATCTAGCAGGCCCTTGTCTCTGAACTATTAAGAAAAAAAAAAAAAAAAGAAAAGAAAAAGAAAAAACTTCCTATTTTATTTGGGAAACCATGACAATGTTAGTAACATAAAATTTGTATTTCTATGAAAAATAATTTCTACTGTGAATTGTATGTTATTTAAAAGAATTAACTATATTTGTTATACTTTATGATTCTTTGCCCATTCCTTATTCAAAAGAGAATTCTTAAAGTATCTTAGATAAAAGACTTTTCATAAATACGTCCAACTATGTGAGTCAGCATTAAAGGGTGTTGAAAAGTTTATCAATAGCTAGTTTATTTTGAGTTATAGACTACTAAGGATTTCCATTTTACAATACAATGGTACGGTCACATGTTAAAGTAGTTAACATAATTGTAGGGAAAGTGGTTAGTAATTGGGCTTGAACCCAAGGTGTATAGCCTTTTTCATTTTGTTCTTTTTTGAGACAGTCTTGGTAAGTTGCTAAGTTGCCGAGTCTGGCTCAAACTCTAGACCCTCCTTCCTCAGCCTCCCAGAGTGCTAGGGTTACAAGCATGCACCATCACATCTCTGACATAATGCCGTATTTACCTGTACAATGTCTATGACTTTGTTTGTCCCCATTAAAAATCTAGTCTAACTTATCCATGAAGTGTCTTGCAACATTTTAAAGAATATACATCATATTACATCAAATATCCTCTCTTTGTTTTCCTAAGCCTTAGCAAACATATTTACAATCACTCAAACCAAAATACTATAAAGTTACTCCAAATTAAAACTGCTCACCATGATACCACCATTTTGTTTTCTTTGGATTCTTGTTACATGTTCGCACATAGAAAGAATTATCTGGTGGTCGTCTCTGAAACCAAACAACAACAACAGTTTAAATAATAAGTTCTAAAATAGAATAACTAAGGGGGAGGATAGGTTTAAGCAAAATCACTACATAATTAAATGTATTTAATCCCAACACAGAAAAATTAAAAACCATAAATATATTCTGGGAGATTCACACTTTTGACACTTAAAAGTGTTTTTTAAAGGGTGGTGGGGGAGCGTTTGAGCTGGGGAGATAGCTCAGTGGAATAAGTGCTTGCCTGGCAAGTGCAAGGTCCTGAGTTTGATCCCTAGTACTACCAAAAAAATAAAAAAAGAAAAATAAAGGCAGGTGTTTGGGATGGGTATGCTCTGGATTGGGTTCTAAGCGCAACACTGGAGAATCATCATCAAACAAATGGGAGCAAACAAGATAGATGCAGCCAAAATTCGTATAGCTTATCTCCCTCAAAGTAATTTACTAATTACATTTGTGAACTAATTAAACATCAAAGTTTACCTAACTAAAGGTTGCCTGAAGAACCAGAATCATTTATAAACCTTGACAAGGCCTAGGAGTGTAGCTCAGGGGCACAAAGCTTGTCTAGCATGCAGTAAGGCCTTGACTTCCATCCCTAGCACTTCTTCAGAAAAAAATAAAAATAAAGAGAGCCACACGGTATCACATGCCATAATCTCAGCACTCTGGGAGGTGAGGACTGCAGATTCATTCCCAACCTAGGCAAATTAGGGCATTAGTGAGACCCTGCCTTCAAAAAAAGGGGGCAATGGATGGGGGGTTTTCTGGAGATGTAGCTCAATGCAAATACCCTGGGTTCAATCCCTAGTACTACAAAAAATAATAACAATTCCTGTTTTACTATTTTTCACTCTCTTTAATACACACACCACATATACACTACTTTAATGCATCACTGAGGATCAACCAAAAGATCCAGGTTCTTCTTCTTTTTCTTTTCAGTATTGAGGATTAGACTGAGGGGTTTTGCACTGAGAGGTACAACCTTTTTTTTCTTTTTTCTTTTTTTGTGAGTCACATTGTTGTTAACTCTCTAACTTGCTAAGTGGCTAACTTGCCTAGGCTGGCATTGAAATTCTGATCGTCCTGCCTTAGCTTCCCAAATGCCGGGATTAAGATGAGCACCACCATCCCTAGTTTGTTTTTAAACAATATGTACAAAGCACTTCTGCCGTACCACAGGCTTTCTGTCACTTATATGCCCTGATGAACACAATATAAAAACGGAGGGCAGTTCTGCAGGGAAAGTACACCAGGAATAGTGATGCCAACAACACTAAAAGCAACTGTTGGAAGAGGCTTTTCTTAACCAAACACAAGAAATACATGTCTTCCTACAAGGATGTAGTAGCGTGTCAAATTTATAGTAAAGCCACTAAAGGAAGGTTAATAAACAATCTCATCTGTTAGTTGCCTTTTTGTCTACATTCAAAATTATCTAACAACTTGATTTTTTCGCATTCTTAAATATTTTGCAATACTGAACTTAAATTAATTATGTTTAGCTAAGCAAATGAAGATGAAAGGTTTCAAAAGTCCTTTCCTCAGACTGGAAAAGGACTCGTTAGTCTAAGCACCTGCCTGGCAAGCACAAGGACCAGGGCTGGATCCCCAGTACCACATGCCCTGCCAGCATGTCGAGGTGGCCACCGAAACCAGGCATGGTAGCACACGCCTGTAATCTCAGTATTGGGGAGGCTAAGACAGGAAGATCACTACAAGTCCAAGCTGCGTAGCGAGACCCTGTACCAAAAAATAAATAAGTAAAAAGATTATTTTTACTTTAAAAAAAGTCCTTTCCTCAATGAGACTATCAAAAGAGACATTTAAATAAGCTCCAACCAGAAAGCAAGGGTGAGCAGCTTTCCTAGACAGTAGGAAGGAGAGCACCCTGCACACTGGGCACTTCTAAAGCTCCATATACGTAACTAGCACTTTCATGAGCCTTATAATGACCTTTAAAGTTAATCATAATTTCCTTTTTAAAAAAAAATCAAGGAAAAGATGTTAAACAACTAAAATACATAGATTTATCTGTTAATACAATTTGAGAAAATTCCTGAAAAACATAAAATTTTATGTGTAACTACTTCAGCACAGTAAAAACAAATACCTAAAAACTTTTTCTCAAGTTTTGTATTAGACAGAAATCCTGACTTTCAGAATATCATCTTTCTGAACTATATTATTCAATAACAAATACAATTTGCCAGTAATTTAAAAGGGAATGATTTTTAGTCTTGTATGGCAACTAGAATGTTAGGGGGATGGTCAAGGGTACTAAGGACACAGGAGGTATGGAGAACACAGTCCTCTGGTGGAGATACTAAATCACTACATTTAAATGTAAACAAAAGCTAAGACTCTAAGGCATGTGCAAAAGTGATGTGCACATATCACCACCAATCATCTCTTAATAACTTTCACTATATTTCATAATCACCATTTCATCTTTCTATAATCATTAAGCATAACAGGTACACAGAAACCTCACAACTGCCACGTGTTCTCCCTTACACAGATAAGTTGAAATGTGTGTTCTGATAGTGGATCACAGAAAAACTATGACAAACTATGACATAGTAAATGAGTAACACTTGTAAAACTTTCAGAGGTTAACAGAAATTCAAAGCCTTAAGATGCAGCTTAGAAAAGCCCTCAAGAGAAGAAATTAAAAGTTAAAAGGTGGTACTAATAATAGAGGCATGGGCTGGGGAGATGGCTCAGTGGAATAAGCGCTTCCCTGGCAAGCGCAAGGGCCTGAATTCAATCTCTGGTTCCGTCAAAAAAAAAAAAAAAGAAACAAACAAACAAACAAAAAATAGATGCATGAAACTTATTTCATCTAAGATGTGTTGTTTTCTACACATTTTAACATTCCTGAATAGGGATATGTGATTTTTTTTTTTTTTTTTTTAATTTTAGAGAAGGATCTACAGGGTGTTCAGGGTCTCACTACTAGATCAGACTCATAGTGATCTGCCTGTTTACAGCCTCCCAAGAGCTGGGATTACGGGTGCATGCCACCATGCCCCATCTCAGTGCCATCTCAGTGCACGCTGGGGGCAGGGCCTGCATAGCAAGCCCAAGGATCAAACCCCTGGCCCCTGGCCTGCTTGCAGGTGTTTTAATCCCTTGAGCTATTTGGCTGGCCCTGGGATATGTGACTTTTAATTAGTGGTGTGTCATATTTTAATTGCTAATTGTTTCTTTTATGTACAAAATTTGTATACTAAGGACTCATAATCCTACAATTTAAAAAAAAAAAAAATCTACCCAATTATTTCCTATACTTACTTGACCAAAGAACTCTTCTTTGTATTTTATATCAAACACTAAGAAACCTCTTATGGACCAGACATGCCAAGAAATTCAGTGAAATAATGTCTTCAGATTCTTAACTATCATTTAAAATATGAACTACTGGGCTGGGGAGATAGCTCAGTAGAATAAGCACCTGCCTAAAATATGAACTACTGTCATAATGGTTCTCTACATACTAATTTAATCACAATGGCAGTCTGACCAGCACTTTGGGACACTGAAGTGTGGGGATCAAAAAGTCAAGTACTGCCTAGGCAAATTAGCAACTCAGTGAAATCCTGTCTCCAAAAATAGGACAGGCCAAGAATGTTGCATAGTGGTAGAGTGCTCGTGAGTTCAACCCCCAGTACCAACTTTTTATTTATTTATTTATTTGTTTGTTTATTTATTTATTTATTTTTGTGAAGGGTCTCACTATGTAGCCTGGACTTGAACCGATCCTCCTGTTTTTGGCCTTTCCAGTGCTGGGATTATAAGCATGCACCACCACATCCAGACTCGGTCGCCAGCTCAGTGCGCCAGGGGGTGGGGGCTGGCACAGCATGTGGTGCCAGGGATCCACCTCCAGTCCCTGTGCTTGCCTAGGCAGGTGCTTAGTCCACTGGGCTATCTCATCCACCCACCCAGTACCATTTATTTACTGTAAGTAAATAAACAGTAATCAGTTTGATTTGGAGAATAGAGGAAAAAAACTGCTAAATACACAAACCATGCACAGCTCCCTAAACATCTCAGGGAAAAAGAAGGCTTTAAAATATAGAAATAATATTGTTCCACACTAATCCTCCACCAGGAATTAGAGAACCAGAAAGATGGAGAATTCAGGTATTTTTAAAGGGTATCCTAACTTCAATTCATGCAGTTCTTTGTTCTGGTCTTCTTTCTTCCACTTTTACCAGACATAGTACTGTGGATTTAAAAAAGTAAAACAAGAGGAAAAGCTAAGAAAATTCCACTGGCAAGTGATCTTCCTTGTTGCACATAATCATTCAGTTACAACAATTCTTATTTCTGAGGCATCTTCAAAAAAGCTGAAAGGATACAAGTCGGCAAAAGGAGGAAAGAGAGAGAGGGGAGCTATATTATATGTTTCCAGACCTTCAACAACAAAATCTAGAAAAACTTTTTATCTATCTTTACCCAGTACATGCTGATGGAAATAAAATTCAGATTATTTATGAATTTTATAAACCAGTTAAGTCTGACTTATAGTATGTTGAACATTTAAATATTCTACTTGAAATGAAAAATAAAAATAATGTTCCAATTTATTTTTATTGGTATACGTTTGTAACACATAATTATTTGCTTTGAAGACCTGTTGCGTGTATTTATTTTTTATTCCCCTTTCCTCCTTCCCCAGATTCCCTTCCAATCTTCAGTCAACTTCCTTTTTTCCTACCATCTCTCCTTTTTTAAAATTCTTTATTCACATTTTGGGTTTCTCATATAAGAGAAATCATGAGTTATTCATCTGTTTCACAAGTGATTTATTTTACTTAGCATTCCAATGTTTTTTTTTTTTTGTTTTTTTTTTTTTCAGAACCAGGGATTGAACTCAGGCCCTACTGAGCCATCTCCCCGGCCCCTCCAATTTATTCTTAATCATGGCATTCCCTATACTTTTAAAAGGTAAAACACAAATTCTTCCTTCAAACAAAAATAAGCATACATGAAAATTATTAATCTACCTAAACTGAAAGAAGAGATATTATCTGAAATAATTCTGAAAATTCCTACCTTTTCTTTGCAGCTGGAAAGCATGCTAATAATGCTAAGACAAACTGACTGGACTGAGAGCGCTGGGGACCAGTCTTCTGTTAGAATGGATAAACAGATATGACCATTGCTATAAACATGAGGATGAACGGGAATATTTTCACCAGTAAACATGACCTAAGGAAGAATAAAATTCCATTAACACTCAAATATTCTCTACTACCAAAACCTAAGTATTTTCCACATATAACAAGTATTGATTAAATAAATGATCAACCAAAATTAATGCTAGAAACAGATAAAAAACTGTTTGCTTCTTTTCATTAATTTACTAGTACCAGTTTCACTGTATGATGTAAGGGGGAAAAACTCTAGATTTTATATTTTGTTTTTCATAAATTGCCTTAAAATTTTTAAATTGCTATGTACTTTTTTTGCTAATGAAATACAGACTACATTTATATGAATCATTATTCAATTTCCATCCATGACTCTGTAGATAAAAATCAACTAAATTCTAAACAGCATGCCATTATGAGACAATATGAAAAAAGGTGGTAGGAATGCCCCATCACCTCCTACAATTCTAGCACCTAAGGTGCAATGTGCAAAATAAAATGAATATTATATATTCCATCTCCCTATGTGTACAAATTACTTGCTAATCTGTTTTTCTCCTTCCTTTTACTCAATTTTTCTAACACTATTTTTCCATTCTCCATCTTGTCTCACCACTGCTTTGAAAGGTAACATATCTCTTATTTCCTTCCTTTGCCCTAATAATTCAATAAATAAAGTAACAGTTGTATTTCTTAAAGAGACCTCTTAGGAAAAAGGAAATTGATGCTGTTGATGATCCTGTTCTCAGACACCTACTTATGTCTCAGGACCACATAGGTCTCTCCCACCTGATTCCACCAGAAGCTGGGGACCCAGTATTTCCCAAAGATCCCAATAGGTCTACAGATAAACACCCAGACTCCTATGACCCAGTTGCTGGACATGGCCTTTCCTGTGTTCAACAATTGGGATCCAGACTAAGATAAAAGGAGAAGGGCTGAGAGACAGAGGAAAACTATGGTTCTTGCAACTGGCAATACTATAAACACACCCAAGTAGGCCAAGGGAAAATCCAGGGCCAATCAAACCTGCAAGAAGACTGGACACTGGGCATGCGACTATACCAAGTCACTACCTTGGCCCTGCTGCATGTGTCAGGTGGTCTATGTGCCTGCTTCATGGCTGGAGGATTCACTGTCCATGCTCCTAGAGAAGGGGTATGTCAACCAAACCCTCACCTTCTACTCCGATATAAGACTAAATCAGTGTGGCCTTGGGCACTCTGCAATGCTCCTGTCCACAGACATCTCTCTCTCCTGTGAAAAAACACAGCTGACCTTGCACATCATAGGTAAGCAATATTCTGTTTTAATTTCCTTCTCAGGAAAACCCTCAGATAGATCTACAACCATATTCGGGGTTGAGAGGAGCCTTAGTGGGAATTTCTATATAGCTGTTTTGACATACCAATACAAAGGTCCACTGTTTAACTATGAGTTTTTTAATAGTCCCATGGTGTCCTACTCCCTCACTATGAAGAAATTCATGAGTAAAATCAGAGACAGTCTGTCTTTCCAGGCATGTCACTGTCATTCACTGTAACAGCCATAAAATAAAATAAAATAAAATAAAATAAAATAAAATAAAATAAAATAAAAATTTAAGGGCCAGGGAGATAGCTCAGTAGAATAAGCTCCTGCCTGGCAAGCACAGGGTCCTGAGTTTAATCCCTAAAACAGCAAAAACACAAAACATCACGTTTAAAATCTCCTTTGGAAATCAAGACTGATAGGCATAAAGGGCAGCCTCACAACCCCTCAAAACCCTAGCCATATTTCCTGTTCCTGAAGAACCATTCAAACTGGTCCTTCCTTCAGCAATGCAGTGAAAAGCTGTAACAACCTTGGGGGAGGACTGGCAATTATAAAGCCAGCTCCAACTCAACTGTCTGATAAAAAGACCACCCAAAAGAATAAAAATATTCCTGTGAACCCCTGGAAGACCTGTGGTTCCTCTTCAAAAAGCAAGACTCTAGGGCTGGGGATATGGCTCAGTAGAATAAGCACTTCCCTGGCAAGCTCAAGGGCCTGAGTTCAATCCCCGGTTCCGAAAAAAAAAAAAAAAATACAAAAAGCAAGACTCTAGTACTGCTCTGGGTAGTCACTAATGATCCATAAATCACCACAGCTTAGATAGGCATCTTTGAGACTCCTTAATTAGATCCTTAATGTGGACAATTTTTTTTAATCAAATTTCACTTAGATATAATGATCACTTTTATCATAGAGAATTTTTATCTGTTCATGATATAACTTGATTTTTATCTTGCTAGGGCTCTGGCTCTTAGTAATTTATCAAACACTGCTCTTTGCTGTGCTTTGTCTACCACAGGAACAATGGAAATCTGACCTGCTCCTTCTAATAGTAAAGTTACTCTCCTGACAAATTCACCAAGATTTCTTCCATCAAATAGATAGCTCAAGAGTACTAACTTCGTTTTTATTCTGACAAATTTTTTTCCAACCCCATCAGTGAGACACAAATATCCAAGGTAATTGGAGAACACATAATTCTCAGTAGGTAGAGCCTACAACCCCTTTCACAGGAGGTAGCCTTATGAAGATGGAATCCTCCACACCCTCAACACTCCATAAAGATTTATGTATCTCAGGGGGAAATAGAGCAGGAGATTAGCATGTGGCTGGCCAGCTGGGCAAGTGGCTGTGACCTGTTAATCAAGAAGATCCAGGATACATGTACCCAATACCTGGAATCAATCAGGAAGTACGTGAGAACACAAGAAAGTTTTCTTTTTTCTCCATTTATCTGAATGAATAACAGGGTCTTGCTATGTAGGTCAGACTCATAGTGATCCTCCTGTCTCAGGCTCCTCAGAGCTAGGATTACAGGCGTGCACTACCATGCCTGATTTGGTGGCCAGCACGACATGCCTCAAGTTCCAGCACAGCATGCAGTACCAGGTATCGAACTCAGGTCCTTGCACTTGCCAGGCATGTGCGTAGACTATCTCCTCAGCCCGCAGGGAGGTTTTTGATAAGATGATCTGGAACTAACGTCAGCCTGAGATGTAAGAGACACAAAAGATCTGCACCACTGTGCTCTGCTCTCAACCTGTAGAGTGAACTTCTTTGCCTACTGTTCCTTTGGTACCAGTAATCAAACTGAAGACCTCACACTTGCCAGGCAGGCACTGTGCCACTGAGTTATATCCCCAGCCCTCTTTTCTTACTTTTAGTTGGCCCAAGCTCACTCTGCAGAGCATGTTTCTTTTCCTATCTTTAATAAATGTAAAACTCAAAACTTTTAAAAAATAAAATACTGTAAAAACTACATCAGTTCACTATGTATAATAGGCTAGAATGGTAAATATTTGATAAAGATAACTAGGGATTGAGATTTTATTAGTTTTCAATGCAGATTTCTCCTTTTAGTTCTCCAACATGTATCAACAGTTTTCTCTGAGTTTCCATAATTACCATTCAACTCTGCCTGTATTGCAGAGAAAAAAATTCTTGGACACGGTAGAACTAAACTTAGATTCTCCTGGATGGTAACCATTCTTTCTTATACTTTTTTTTTTTTTAATTTTCCTTTATCTCCCCCCTGCTTTATGCAAAAAGCCCTGAAAGGGGCTAATTTTCACTTCCTCCTTATGAAGTATCTTAAATGCTAGACAATCTTCAACAATGAAAATTATTATTCAAGAAAACCTGTCCAACTGGGATGCTTAACCACCATTACATGAAGGAGCAAGGAAAAGAAAAATAACAAAAATCAGAGTAAAATAACATAAAAACAGACTCATGATCCCTGCAATGAAGAAATTCAAGCAAGAGGAAATAATTGGTACAGGTAAACAGGCCATAAATAGGTGGATGAAATGAGGATAAATGAAAAGTAATTATTAAAACTTTTGTCCCAGTGTTTCTAAATGCTTTATACCAAGGCAAGTATATTTTCAGCTTTGAACTTTTGCATCAATATGGCTTCGGCATCTAACACAGTATTTCCTTCCCTCTTAAAAATTTCCCCTCTATTTTGAAAATAACCACATTTTTCCCAACAAAAATTAACTTTGAAGTTTAACAAGTATACTGAGATATTCTCAAGATAACATGGGCTTATTTCATATATATTTCTTTCAAATAGAATGCTTTCAGAGAAATAAGGTGTAAGTAGTGGATATTTGAAGGAAAGAAATAACTAGTATCAAGAGGCAGAGAGGAAAAGAAGCAGAGTTAAAATATTAAGCTTGAGGGGCCAGGGAGATGGCTCAGTGGAATAAGCAAGCACTTGCCTGGCAAGCGCAAGGGCCTGAGTTCAATCCCTGGTTCTACCAAAAAATAAAATAAAATAAAATATTAAGCTTGAGGGGCTGGGGAGATGGCTCAGTAGGATAAGCGATTGACTGGCAAACGCAAGGATCTGAGTTCAATCCCCGGTTCCGCAAAAAAAAAAAAAAAAAAATTAAGCTTGAATACTTTACATTTTTCACGGACATCTGCCAAGCTAACTGAGGCCTAAGATAAATATCCAATTTATTCAAATTGAAGAACCCTCCTTGATTAGCCCCAAATACCCTTCCACTTGTATCTATACACATAAAACTACAACAGCACATGCTCACAAATGTCCTTACATGCTTAGCCCATTTCTTTTCACATAAATTCTCTTTCGAAGTCCACTTCAAATTGTTCTCCTTAGTCCACTCTAAATCAGTCACCGCTTTCTCTTTTACTCTAAAGCGTTCAGGACAGTGGAGATAGCTTGACAGTCTAAGTGCCTGCCTGGCAGGCACAATGACTTGAGCTCAATCCCTAGTACCACCTGCCATGTGCTGGCCCCAGAACCCCAGGCACACAGCGAGAGCCCTGAAACTGGACAAGGTGGTGCACACCTGTAATCCCAGCTCTCAGGAGTCTGAGTGAGAGAGGAGGATCACTATGAGTCTGAGCTAAGTAGTGAGACCCTGCATCCAATAAATAAATAAAGCAAGCAAGCAAGCAAGCATTCAATTCATTGTACCTCATAGGGTTTTCATTGATATATATCAATCAATCAGCAAATCCTATTGCTTCAACCTTTTAAAGGTCCAA